TTGGTCACAACTAATTATCAGATTATGTCGATTGTTTGATTGGTCACAGCTAATTATCAGATAATGTCGATTGTTTGAATGATTGGTCTGTGTCTACTGATGAGATTTTTTAACAGCTGATTAAATATGCTGCTTGACGTACACGATCAATTATACGCGCCATTAATTATCATCGGCGGGCATCAAAGCTAGACATGCACTCAAGTTAATTACATTAATATATTGTTGGCTAATTATATTTATTTAATCGATGAGGTTTGCTGCACTTGTAATTTTTTTTTAAAAACAAAATTTAAACTTGCACTGTATAATCGACCAACACAATCAGTTAGAGAACTGTAGAATCGACCAACACGGTCAGTTAGAGAACTGTAGAATCGGCCAACACGGTCAGTTAGAGAACTGTAGAATCGACCAACACGGTCAGTTAGAGAACTGTAGAATCGACTAACACGGTCAGTTAGAGAACTGTAGAATCGACCAACACGGTCAGTTAGAGAACTGTAGAATCGACCAACACGGTCAGTTAGAGAACTGTAGAATCGACCAACACGGTCAGTTAGAGAACTGTAGAATCGACCAACACGGTCAGTTAGAGAACTGTAGAATCGACCAACACGGTCAGTTAGAGAACTGTAGAATCGACCAACACGGTCAGTTAGAGAACTGTAGAATCGACCAACACGGTCAGTTAGAGAACTGTAGAATCGACCAACACGGTCAGTTAGAGAACTGTAGAATCGACCAACACGGTCAGTTAGAGAACTGTAGAATCGACCAACACGGTCAGATAGAGAACTGTAGAATCGACCAACACGGTCAGTTAGAGAACTGTAGAATCGACCAACACGGTCAGTTAGAGAACTGTAGAATCGACCAACACGGTCAGTTAGAGAACTGTAGAATCGACCAACACGGTCAGTTAGAGAACTGTAGAATCGACCAACACGGTCAGTTAGAGAACTAGAATCGACCAACACGGTCAGTTAGAGAACTGTAGAATCGACCAACACGGTCAGTTAGAGAACTGTAGAATCGACCAACACGGTCAGTTAGAGAACTGTAGAGTCGACCAACACGGTCAGTTAGAGAACTGTAGAATCGACCAACGCGGTCAGATAGAGAACTGTAGAATCGGCCAACACGGTCAGTTAGAGAACTGTAGAATCGGCCAACACGGTCAGTTAGAGAACTGTAGAATCGACTAATACGGTCAGTTAGAGAACTGTAGAATCGACCAACGTTACAAATGTTAGAGCTGGCCATACGTCATACTGTCAGCTTGTGGGTGGTGCTGTCCAGTTCCCGGCTGTCAGGTCAGAGCTTGCCCGGCTCCAAGCCGTCAGGCGGGCGTAGAACACATCGTTTAGTTGGACACCTCGTCCGTCTACAGGCCGCGCCCCGGGGTTCTGTTTGATAGACGTGGCTGGGTCATCTTAGACAGTTGCTGGAACTAAACTAAAGGCTAGCATGACAAGTTGCTGGGACTAAACTAAATGCTAGCATGACAAGTTGCTGGGACTAAACTAAATGCTAGCATGACAAGTTGCTGGGACTAAACTAAATGCTATCATGACAAGTTGCTGGGACTAAACTAAATGCTACCATGACAAGTTGCTGGGACTAAACTAAATGCTAGCATGACAAGTTGCTGGGACTAAACTAAATGCTAGCATGACAAGTTCTGGGACTAAACTAAATGCTACCATGACAAGTTCTGGGACTAAACTAAATGCTAGCATGACAAGTTGCTGGTACTAAATTAAATGATACCATGACAAGTTGCTGGGACTAAACTAAATGCTAGCATGACAAGTTCTGGGACTAAACTAAATGCTAGCATGACAAGTTCTGGGACTAAACTAAATGCTAGCATGACAAGTTCTGGGACTAAACTAAATGCTACAATGACAAGTTCTGGGACTAAACTAAATGCTACCATGACAAGTTCTGGGACTAAACTATATGCTAGCATGACAAGTGGCTGGGACTAAACTAAATGCTAGCATGACAAGTGGCTGGGACTAAACTAAATGCTACCATGACAAATTCTTTTTCTAGATTTCTTGTGTGAAGCTTTTATTGATATATTTCTTTGTATGAAGCTATTATTGATATATTTCTTGTGTGAAGCTATTATTGGTATATTTCTTGTGTGAAGCTATTATTGGTATATTTCTCATGTGAAGCTATTATTAATATATTTCTCGTATGAAGCTATTATTGATAAATTTCTCGTATGAAGCTATTATTGATATATTTCTCGTATGAAGCTATTATTGATATATTTCTCGTGTGACGCTATTATTGATATATTTCTTATGTGAAGCTATCCTTGCTATATTTCTCGTGTGAAGCTATTATTGATATATTTCTCGTATGAAGCTATTATTGATATATTTCTCGTGTGACGCTATTATTGATATATTTCTCATGTGAAGCTATTATTGCTATATTTCTCGTGTGAAGCTATTATTGATATATTTCTCGTATGAAGCTATTATTGATATATTTCTCATGTGAAGCTACTAATGATATATTTCTCATGTGAAGCTATTATTGATATAATTCCATCTCCCCTCCTCTGTTACAGAAGTTCCTGAATGAAAGAAATCTCTAGAAGATGTCTGTTTACATTTGGACGTGGGGCAGAAAATAGAGATTTAATGACGTCTTTACAGCAAATAAATGGAGCCGTGCGCCTCTCAGGGGGGAGATGAAGCCCGGCTCGTGGGCTCGTATTTGATCACGTGACCATTCATCGACGACCACGCTCCCCCCTCCCCCCCTCCCCAGCTGATTGCACGCCAATCCTGGTGTGTTTCTTGGTGCAGGCTGCAAGATCAGGGGTGACCCACCAAGTGGTGATACAACAGGGGTAACACACCAAGTGGTGATACAACAGGGGTAACACACCAAGTGGTGCTACAACAGGGGTGACACACCAAGTGGTGCTACAACAGGGTGACGCACTTAGTGGTGATACAACAGGGGTGATACACCAAGTGGTGCTACAACAGGGGTGACACACCAAGTGGTGATACAACAGGGTGACGCACCAAGTGGTGCTACAACAGGGGTGACCCACCAAGTGGTGATACAACTGGGGTGAGCCACCAAGTGGTGCTACAACAGGGGTGACCCACCAAGTGGTGCTACAACAGGGGTGACACACCAAGTGGTGCTACAACAGAGGTGACACACCAAGTGGTGCTACAACAGGGTGACGCACCAAGTGGTGCTACAACAGGGGTGACCCACCAAGTTGTGATACAACAGGGTGACACACCAAGTGGTGCTACAACAGGGGGACACACCAAGTGGTGATACAACAGGGGTGACACACCAAGTGGTGCTACAACAGGGTGACACACCAAGTGGTGATACAACAGGGTGACACACCAAGTGGTGCTACAACAGGGGTGACACACCAAGTGGTGATACAACAGGGTGACACACCAAGTGGTGCTACAACAGGGGTGACACACCAAGTGGTGCTACAACAGGGGTGACACACCAAGTGGTGATACAACAGGGGTGATACACCAAGTGGTGCTACAACAGGGGTTACCCACCAAGTGGTGCTACAACAGGGGTGACACACCAAGTGGTGCTACAACAGGGGTGATACACCAAGTGGTGCTACAACAGGGGGTGACACACCAAGTGGTGCTACAACAGGGGTGACACACCAAGTGGTGCTACAACAGGGTGACCCACCAAGTGGTGATACAACAGGGTGACACACCATGTGGTGATACAACAGGGTGACCCACCAAGTGGTGATACACCAGGGTGACCCACCAAGTGGTGCTACAACAGGGGTGACACACCAAGTGGTGATACAACAGGGGTGATACACCAAGTGGTGCTACAACAGGGGTGACACAAAGCCCGAGGACGTGAGGATTTCTAAAGCTCCGCCGTTCAACAAAGCCGTGCTGTGGGGCTCCCCCACCCCCACCCCACCCCACCCCATCCTACCCACAATCTATGCAACCATTCGCTCATCCAAACTTGATTTAATAAGAGAAAAAAACCTGTCAAATAGGAGAAAATCGATTCAAATTACAATTTTAAATAGGAAAAAAAAGATTGGACAAGCCCATTAGGGGAGAAGGTAGACAACTGTTGCTTGAAATCTGCAAATGTTCTGATAGTGTTAGATACACGGCTAGGCTGGGTGCTCAGCACACACACAGAACCAGTGGCGTAGATATTGGCGCTCTCTGGCGTCTTGGTGCATCCACGGAGTCAGACTAGTCTAGCAGATCTACGGAGTCAGAGACTAGTCTAGCAGATCTACGGAGTCAGACTAGTCTAGCAGATCTACGGAGTCAGACTAGTCTAGCAGATCTACGGAGTCAGACTAGTCTAGCAGATCTACGGAGTCAGACTAGTCTAGTAGATCTACGGAGTCAGACTAGTCTAGCAGATCTACGGAGTCAGACTAGTCTAGCAGATCTACGGAGTCAGACTAGTCTAGCAGATCTACGGAGTCAGACTAGTCTAGCAGATCTACGGAGTCAGACTAGTCTAGTAGATCTACGGAGTCAGACTAGTCTAGCCGATTTGAAATACATTATGAAATGTGGTGATTATTTCCTATTCTTATGACGGATGATCAATATCAAATGATTATCAAAACGTTGGATAAAAAGTGAGATGGTGATTATTGGTTGTACAAAAATAGTTCTCTATTTTTAAAACAATCAACGATTGTTATTGGAAGATGGGGGATGTACTTAAAAAACGTTAACGTTGGCATAACTTGCTATAGTGGTACACTGTAAACCTGGATTAAACTTCATTGAATGCTTCCAGCCAAACGGCCGCCAATGTTTAGGCTTTGGTTGCGTGGCTTGAATGGACGTAACTGGACACACGTTGGATATCAGCCGGTAGACAGCACCTAGTTGTACTGGACCACTGAAGAAGGGCCGACACCCCCTTATCGAATGCCCTGTCCTCCGGGGCTCCCCTATGTAGGGGTATGGAGGATGGGGGCGCGGCTGTCGCGGGCACTCAAAAGGTGGCGCCCAGTGAGCGGCGCCCTCCTGCTGGTCTCTGTGTGGCTGGCTCTGATCACCGTCATCAACCTCGGCTCAAACCTGGGCTCAAACCTCGGCTCAAACCTGGGCCATCTCGCCCTCAGACACGAGCCGCTGTCCCGCGGGCAGGCGAGCCACCCCCACAGCCCTGAGTCTCCCCTGACCAGCGGTAACCTGAGGGCCGACTTGGCCCGGGGCAGGGACCTCATGGCGCCCAGCGTACTGAACCAACAGACGGCGGACGCTGTCAAAAGTGGAATTAAAAGTGGCCGCCGCATGCAAGAGATTAAGGTCGTTGAGATGGTGGGCTTAGAGTCACGTGGTTACAGCCGCGAGATGGTGGGCTTAGAGTCACTGTCACGCGGATCTCGCCGGGCTACTGGGGGCGGGGGCGGGGGTGACAGCTTGATAGAAGGGGGGCCGGGAGAAATCGATACAAGGGCTATCACTTTGAAGGGGATTAGCCCGGGCATTGAGGGAGGGGAGGTAAATCTGGGAGATTTGCTGCCAAATTGGGCCCCTGAGCCCAGCACGGCCCCTCCCTTATCGGACATTCCGGAGCAGGGAGGTCCACAAGTAGGAGAACGGCCGGACCAGGACCGGTCAATTTCCTCTCGTGCTAAAAACTCGCTATCAGCAGACGACAGCCTCGATCGTAAAGCAAGATCTGACACAGTCGGGGCGGCAGACACGACGGGTCGGACCGGATTACAAGAGAATGGCAAATCCGGTGGCGGCCATTTGCGAGGACTGAGCGATGAAACACAGAAGATGACGTTTTATGCTAGGGACATGGGGCTAGGGATCGATACTCATTTCAACGGCGGGGAGCAGGATAAAGCCGGCCAAATGGAAGAGCGAACTTATTCACGCTCCATCTCAGTCGATTCTAGTCGGTACACCGCACGCCCGGCCCCACCCCACACCACACACCCGGCCCCACCCCACACACCACCCCTGACCCGGACCCACGGTGAAAAAACCCCGCACGGGCTGAAAGCATCTCGGCGTAAATCAAACGAACAGAGTCTAGTTGCTATGCAAATGAAGACCCCAAATAGCAAGCAGAAACCTCCGCCCGTCTATAGCCTCATCGATCAGAAAGTACACCCGGTGACTCCTCAAATGAACTCCGGTGTAAAACATCCTAGCCGGCTCTTGCCGTTCGGTCATTCTGTCGAGACGGCAGATGATGGCAACCGTACAAGACATCACGGCACGGCTGACTGGCTGCAAGACTTGACTGCCGGCCGCGTCAGGGAGATGCCGGGGAATGTTTTCAGCCCTCAGACGTCTCACTTTGCGAGATTAAGAAATCTGGAATCTAACTCAACTCTGGCCGGCAAGTCTACCTCAACTCTGGCCGTCAAGTCAAACTCAACTCTGGCCGGCAAGTCAAACTCAACTCTGGCCGTCAAGTCAAACTCAACTCTGGCCGGCAAGTCAAACTCAACTCTGGCCGTCAAGTCAAACTCAACTCTGGCCGTCAAGTCAAACTCAACTCTGGCCGTCAAGTCAAACTCAACTCTGGCTGTCAAGTCAAACTCAACTCTGGCCGGCAAGTCTACCTCAACTCTGGCCGTCAAGTCAAACGGACGGGCAGATTCTATCCGGAGTTTTCCTGGTCGAAGACGCGAGACACTGGAACACGGTGGCTTCCATCTTTATTCATATAACGCCAGCGCCAGCGACATGCTGCCATTGGACAGGGATGTGCCGGACACGAGGCCTGAGGGGTAAGTCAAAAGGTTTGGGGGGGGGGGGGGGGGGAGAGGTACTCATTCCCACCCCAGACACGAGGCCTGAGGGGTAAGTCATCAGGTTTTGGGGGGGGGGGAGGTTCTACACATCACACCCCTTGCTATGATACTACTCGTCACGAGCTCAGCAAATAAAAGTAATGATTGGCCACGATTGGTTGGCCACGATTAGATGGCCACGTTTAGTTGGCCACGATTAGATGGGACACTAGTGAGAGCTAGCTAAAAAATTCAAGGCACAAATCAATATTAATTAGGCCCGCCTTAGGTGTTGATGTGCCTTTGGGAGGTTTGCTGGAGGTTTTATGTATGTGATATGGTGGGTTGTAGAAGTTGGTGTTGTATGTGATGTGGTGGGTTGTAGAAGTTTGTGTTGTATGTGATGTGTTGGGTTGTAGAAGTTGGTGTTGTATGTGATATGGTGGGTTGTAGAAGTTGGTGTTGTATGTGATGTGGTGGGTTGTAGAAGTTGGTGTTGTATGTGATGTGGTGGGTTGTAGAAGTTTGTGTTGTATGTGATGTGGTGGGTTGTAGAAGTTGGTGTTGTATGTGATGTGGTGGGTTGTAGAAGTTGGTGTTGTATGTGATATGGTGGGTTGTAGAAGTTGTTACTGTATCTGATGTGATTGGTTGACTTACGAATGCGGGGAAATATTAATGTTAACTGACCCACACACATCACAGTAGACCCACTGAACCTCTCACACCACATCAAATATACTGACCCACACACATCACAGTAGACCCACTGAACCTCTCACACCACATCAAATATACTGACCCACGTACATCGCAGTAAACGAACTGACCGTTCCGAAAGTACTTAATCTTACGATCAATGATCACCCTCTACATCCCCCTCCCCCACTCCTCCCCCCCCCCCACATCCAGCGATGTCTACAACAGTGCCACGAAGAAAATATCTAATTCAATGATCGTCCATCAAAATCTTTCACGGCCATTTAGATCCTTCGGCCAACGGGCCATTGATTCTCCGATAGAATCAATTCTCTAACATCAGTCAATGAGGACTCCCCCCCCCCCCACCCCCTCCCCTCCCTAGCCCTTCTCGTCCACGTTTGCTTTTATTTTTGAGCACGCGCCTTCGTTGGATTCATTGTAACGATATTTGACCTATGACTCTTGAACTTCATCCATTTTTCTTCTCTTGGAGTCAACAGCCCCATCCCAACTCCTTATTCGAAGTATGGAATTATCAAGATTCCTTGTCTCTAAAGCAAAACATGGAATTATCAAGATTTCTTGTCCCTCAACCAAATCATGGAATATCAAGATTCTTTGTCCCTCAACCAAATCATGGAATTATCAAGTTTTCTTGTCTCTAAAACAAATCATGAAATTATCAAGATTTCTTGTCTCTAAAGCAGATCATGGAATTATCAAGATTCCATGTCCCTCAACCAAATCATGGAATTATCAAGATTCCCTGTCCCTCAACCAAATCCATCTTTGTTTGTTTAAAATTAGTGTAATTTTAGTGTCCAAAACATTATAAGGACACTCTAAATGTCATACATGACCAACCATTATAATGACGTTCTAAATGTGATACATCGCCAAACATTGTATGGACGTTCTAAATGTGATACATCGCCAAACATTGTATGGACGTTCTAAATGTCATACATCACCAACAATTATAAGGACGCTCTAAATGTGATACATCACCAACAATTATAAGGACGCTCTAAATGTGATACATCACCAACCATTATAAGGACGTTCTAAATGTGATACATGACCAACCATTGTAAGGACGTTCTAAATGTCATACATGACCAACCATTGTAAGGACGTTCTAAATGTGATACATGACCAACCATTATAAGGATGTTCTAAATGTGATACATGACCAACCATTGTAAGGACGTTCTAAATGTCATACATGACCAACCATTGTAAGGACGTTCTAAATGTGATACATGACCAACCATTGTAAGGACGTTCTAAATGTGATACATGACCAACCATTGTAAGGACGTTCTAAATGTCATACATGACCAACCATTGTAAGGACGTTCTAAATGTGATACATGACCAACCATTATAAGGACGTTCTAAATGTGATACATGACCAACCATTGTAAGGACGTTCTAAATGTGATACATGACCAACCATTATAAGGACATTCTAAATGTGATACATGACCAACCATTGTAAGGACGTTCTAAATGTGATACATGACCAACCATTGTAAGGCAGTGGCGGAACTAGAAAAAAAAGGCCCCCCCCCCGCAGAATTTTTTTTTGGGCCCCTCTATATATATATATATATATATATACATATATATATATATATATATATATATATATGTATATATATATATATATATATATATATATATATATATATATGGAAAACAAAGGTCGCACTAAATTTTTTTTTAAAAATGTATCCGGTACCCGAATAAATCCGAGGTTTTCCAACACACGAGCTGGCCCCATTCAGTTTTCCATGTGAGAAGCACGGACTCTCTAAATCTAGTCCAACACTCCAAACTGACGCCGGTTTTTATGAGGCTTTCATCAAAACGTTACCAACCGTGTGCCCTGTTTTCCAGAAGTTGAATTAAATGTTAACAATGTCGGCAGTTCATTTCTTGGATCTTAGGGCGCGGGTTTGTCCACACTACCAACTAGACACGCCAAGGCATGCTGTAAGTCCTTCGGCGACGACCCAGGTGTCAGGGGAGTCACGGGGCTCTTGGAGCTACCGGTTACATTACTGCACGGGTTATGGGTGCAACACATTGTTTCTTCCGGCAGAGCTCCCCCTTCCCCCCCCCCCCCTCCTCCGAAAACAGTCTACCTAGGAAGAAACATTGGTGCGACACCTAATTAGATTTAGTCATCGAGTGTTGTAGCGAGACTTATTCCTAGTGTTGTGGGAACTTTTAAACGACTGTCTGTGGGGGGCCAACTTGCTCATATGTGATGCGCTCAGGATGACACTGACGCCGGTTGTATTCAAGTAGTAACCTCATCCGTTTATGCAGGATCACGGGGCGCTAAATCACATATTTCCGTTAGGAGTCCCCACTCCAATATGTACAAATGTTAGGCCTATGACAGAAACTTTTGCGGGGCTGTACTCAACAGCTTCCCAAGTTTTCATGGCGATTGGGTGAATGATGCAGTAATGCAAAATAGACAGAAAAATGTTTTTCACATGTACAACTGTATGTGGCCAGGTCACGCGTTGGATAACCTTCTGATTTAGGGGAGGGGGGGACTAACAAAAAGCCAGACCCTCACACACCCCCACCTCAATGACGTCATTTATAAATAGTAATTGACTATTAATAATGTTCAATTAATTCTAAACGTAATTAATTTCTAAATAATTATATAAAAATAATCTTACCTGCCCTGTTTTGTGAATTAGATGTGCCTAATACTATGAAAGTAAATTAATATCTGTTGACTAGATCTAGATCTAGATCTAGTGCTGTCTAGTGTCTGACAAAATGTGCTGAAGTGTTGAATCGTACGGTTAGGAAGTAGTTCATAAACGATACATTTATCTCCTCGATACTTGTGAGGTTGAGAAAGAGGGGTGGGATAGGGGTCGGCTCGGGAAAAAAACTTGAAAGCGACATCAAAACGCCTTGATCTATGTACGTCAGCATCGCCCATTGTAAAACTTACTCAGGGGAGATTATTCCAAGTATAGACTTTAAAAGTTTACTATGATATTTCTCGTAAAAGCAAAAACAAGTAACCGTATATAAAACTGAAGTTTCTAGTATAGTATTATATTATTTTTTTATTATTTGTAGGATGCAAGATACAAATTCAACCCCTATCACAAACACATTAACATTGAAAAATGTACAAAGGATTTCGGGTCCCTTACCAATGCCGCAAAGACGAAAGCCCACTTCATATGTAGCGGCTTTTCGTGCTATGGACTTTGTTGTTTTTTAAAAAGAATTTTGCCGACGACAGCGTGTGTTTGATTGTAGGGAAATAGAACTCGGCCTTGACAATGGTTAAAAAATACAACTATAAATAACTGTTTAAAATATGTAAAAAAAATTCGACAATTTTTGAACCCCCTTTTTGGTCCCCATCCCCTGCCTAATCCGCGACAGTACACTTTGGAGGATCGGTTAAACAGTTACGTGTCCTCTATTTAGCTATTAAAGAGGTGGGGGGCAACGAGTCAAAGAAGTCATTCAAATTTGAAGAGTTGCCTATATTTTACACTGTAGTTTGTGTAATGGATTTTATCTGTTGCGGAAGAGCGTGGTATAGTGACTGTAAAATAAAGATAATCGTACCGCAGCTAGTGTTTTTCTTTTACAAACCAAATATTAAGGCAAAAATGCACCAAAATTAAATTCAAAATTTAAAAAAATATTAATTTTGGTCAGCCTTGGCCCCTAAACGGCCTGCCCCCCCCCCCCCCCCGCGCATTGCGGGGTCTGGCGGGACTGTAGTTCCGTCGCTGTTCATCAGGTAAATGAACAACTACTGACTAGTGTCTTTAACAAAATGTGCAGGAGTGGTCAGTTTACAGTTCAGTAGTTCATAGACGGTTCGTTAATCTATGCATTACATCTTGTAAGAGTAAGGGTGTGGTGAGGGGTAGAGGTGAGGGGTAGGGGTGAGAGGGGGCAGGGGAGAGAGTTGGGAAGGTTCATTGGAAGGGGACAAGAAAGCGCCGATGAACATCTACATCAATAGTGCCGACTTTTTCCGGTCGTCTAGAAGACCAGGATAGTCGCCGCAACATTTCCCCAGCCCGATTTTAAAGCGTGCCGGCACAGTAAAATTTCAGATGCTTCGCTGAAGGGAGATAACTTAAACTTTTACAAGTTTATTGATACAGTTGTTAAAGTAAAAATGAACGCAATTATAAATGTACGAGATCGAAATAAATAATTATATTTTTTGTAGAATTCAGGCCAGTAGTTTAAACACACAATCATAGATATGTATTTTAATAATG